AATATATCGTTAACATCTATGTCAATACGATGTGACTCTGATTGGTATGTAAGGAGTAATTGGGGATAGAGTATAATTTCTCCAATCTTATTCAAAGGGCTCGAAATCCGATAGAGCTAATTCTCTTTTAGATAAGGAAGAGAGTTAATTATATTATTATTTTTATAATTAATTATTTTTAATATTTCGATTCTTATACTTTGAAAAGTTATATTAAAATTTTCATACATATAAAAGTGAAACATTTAATTCTATTTCTCTTCGTGTCATCAACTTTGTAGACGAAAATACTGTATGTGTTGTCACATGCAAAAAACATAATGCTAAAATATGATTAAAAAATTAATTTCATAGTGTTATTCTCACTTAGCCCTAACGAAAAACGAATACCTACTTAGCCCTAAGGAAGAACTAAGACCTAGAAAAACGTCATGCATTAGTTCATCTACTGATCTCTTCTTACAAATGCTCAATACACTAAACACTGTGAAAGTTATATTATATTATATTATATATTGAATATATTTTATCTTGCAATATAATATTATACTTTATGTTCTATTGCAGAGAATGTTTTTTTTTCCTAACACAAGTTCTATGATTGAAGAGAAATTTAGTGTAGCTATTAAAATATAGAACCTATTCATATCTTTCTTTAAGATCTCTCTCATGATCTGTCTTTTTCTATCAGCTATCAATATATATATATAATAGGGGTTACTGTGTAATTTAGTATAGAGTCAAATTTATAAAATATATATCAAGAGGAGTTGAGTTCTACGATTGAAAATAAATTTAGTATAGCTATTAAATTCTAGATCTTTTCTTAATTGTATATATCTCTCAAGATATGTCTTTTCTGTCATCTCCCATTATATATATATATATATATATATATATATATATATATATATATATATAATAGAAAATACAATGTAAAGTCAAAATTCACTTCATTTTTTGTAGAAAAAAAGGAAAAGGAAACAACTTCTTTATGTTTATTATAAATCATTTTATGAAAATAATTAGCTATTTATGCTTGCTACAATATGGGCTTAAGCATTTAGATGAGTTGACACTGGTTAAGAATCTTGTTCCTTGATGTTTATTAGATGTATCAGTTGCTTCTAGAAAGAATGAAGTATATGCCACCAGAGTCTCTCAGATTATGGTGTGTGAGTAAGAAACAAGTACTCCATGGAACCTGGAATCTACCCTAAAAAGCTTGAGATGAACTGAAGAGCCAACCTACATTGATGCATGACTGTAAAGTATGGTGCAAACTCAAGCCACGATCCTGATACCGCTGAGAACTACGTGGTCTCCGATGTGGTAACTTCTCTCTGTGATCCCCACTGTTTCTCCATTCGAGAGAATGCTAGGAGTCATGGGAAGATGAAACCCTAGGCATAGGATTGAAGTCAGACTACTAGAAAACTCGTGGCGGAGCGCGATTTTGTGGGTTGATGGACATAAACAAGCATTTAGATTGCAGCTTCGAGTACTAATCCATGCATGCAGTACACTGTTTCTCATCTACCCGTGTTCTTACACGTGAAAGAAACTAGTTGGCTGCGTCAACCGGGTTGTCTACTTGCAGATATATCTGAGACAAGAATCCGAAGTCAGCTACGTTTCATGGAAGTTGTCTTGCATGATTCCGAGGTGCTCGAAAGCCTAAAGCAGTGGACACCCTCGATTTGCGTCTTCAGAAGGCAACTTGAAATCACACAGATTGTTTGTTTAGATCTGATCTTGAAGTACTTGCTCTCACTATTTCTATTCTGCAGCGTATCAGTGTGCAGAGACTTGCTAATATACTGACCGAGGAGAATAGAATACTTTGCCTCCAACAATGTGGTCCGCGGGAGAGAAAAGATAGATTAGTGAAGGTGGATTCCTTAAATATGTCAGATATCATAAAGCTAGATGACATGACTTCGAAGCTAACCACAAGCACATGGTAAGATGTGATCAGTGTTCAAGTAGTTCCTGGATTCGCAGCTTTTAAATGCTTTGATCTCGGTTCAGAATCATGCATTAGCTGCACAACCCTCCTCAACCGTATGAGCTTCTAATTTGTTCTTGTGGTAGTTTGTTGATCTGCAAGTGTTGATAGATGATATCTTGAAATTGATAGTAGACATTAGATTTGATGTCTGTATCATGGTTGTAGAGTATTGAATCTACGAGCTCTGGTAGTTTCCTTGGGATGGCTATATGCAGACATTCTGCTCTTCTCCTTGAACAGGTCTCAAGCTTTTGGTAATGGAGGCATCCAGAGGGAAGTTAAGACTGGGGAAAGCTCCACTGGATTCTTCACTGTCCTCTTTCATGGTGAGACTCTCTTTTTGTAGTAGTAGTAGAAGTAGTAGTAATGTTTCAGATGAGTACAAAAAGATCAATGAAGGAAAATAAGCTTCAATTATTGGAGGTAATTACAGTACATCTTATTTTAACTTGGAGCTGTCCTTTCTTCAAAGAAGGAGAAGATGGAGAAGATAAGTGATCCGAGATATGTGGAACTCTCTAAGAACAAAGGCAAGTCAGTAGTTCATCATTCCCCGAAGCAACAGGCTATGGACTTCCTCCCCCTATCTTCGATCCCATCCTCCTCCGATAATACCCTTCACTTATTCTGCACAAATGTAAGATCGATTTCTTCACTGAGATTATGTTGCTGGTAGTTCGACTTGAACACCAGAAGGCTTTCTAATTCTAAGTTGTCAGCTTTGTTGCTGGTAATTGCTCATACTTTTATGCAACCAGAATTGTTTCGAACATTTGGATGTTGATGGAAATCACCTCTTTTCCTTGTCTGATTTCTTGTTGAAATCTGATGCAGGGCCTGCTGTCATGCTTTGATCAGGATGTCCAAATCGTGAAGCATGATGAAGAGATGGAAGAACGGAAAGACAAGGACATGGCCCAGTTTGAGATGCGCTCGAGAATGAGAAGAGCCCAAACATGGGTAGAAGTAGTAGTAGTAGTAATAGTCTATCAAGCCTTCCCTTCGCCTTGCTACTTTTAGAGGTCACATTCTTCGTCTTCCTTTGTGGATTCCCAGTTGCATAAATGGTACAAGAAGGTGAACTGGAACCAACAAGAAGTAGGCGTCCTATCGAGGGTTCTTCTCATGGTGAAGAGGAAAGAGGAAGTGAGACTACGGACGTCCAAAGCAAACGCAACCTTGCAGGTCACCGGAGTCGCTGCCGCAATTGCCGGCGTTGCAGCTGCTGGCAGCTTGAAAAGGAGCATGCACGAGGAGAGCAATGGAAGTGGAGGAAATATGGACGACAGTGCACTGAGCAGAGTTGTTGCCTCCGCTGCTGCGTTGGTGGCCACTGTTTGCGCTGAGGCGGCAGAATCCGTCGGCGCAAGCAAAGCCCACGTCGCTGCAGTCATCAGCTCTGGCATTGCAACTCAATCTTCGGCTGACATTGCTGCTCTGACCTCCATGGCTGCAACAAGTAAAGAACAAGCACTAAGTATACTTTGTTCTTCGATTGCTATCTTATACTGCTCGTCCACCACGCTCTCTTTTTCCTTGAATCATCAACTTGATTTTTATGATGATTTGTCATTTGACATCAAGCACTAAACGATGTTTGCAGGTTTAAGGGAAGATTCATCTGTAAATCTAACAGCAGAGAACAAAAAACATGTTTCAGAGGAGCAGAAAATGCTTGGAAGAGGTGCATTGCTACCCGTTCAAATCCAAACAGGTAAGGATGGATGTTATTATATCCTCTCCTCTACACCTTCTTCCTCCTTTCCTCGTATGATCTCTTAGCACTACACTGAATTAATCGCATCGCATAAGTTGCAGGAAACTTTGTGCACAGAATCGTGTCAATCTTTTACAAGCATGACAAGTTGGTACTAAAGCTGGGGAAGAAGCATCTCCGGGGAGCATTTACAACATACAAGGAATGTAAGATCACATGCATGCACTTCCAAGTTCTATCTGACAGAAATATAATGACTTGATCTTGATCTCTTGAAACTATATTTTGCAGATGTGATTGTTGATGCAGTAGATGGTAGAAAAGGTGGTGGCTTTGATACAAGTGCACATGCTTCCCACATCATAGCTCTTTGTACCACCGAAGGAATCATCAAGTTGAGCTTCAAAGACAGCAAGCAATGCAGAGTTTGGAGGTCATCTATCTCCCACCTATTATATAAACTATAAAGTCACGAACAAGTGAAGGAAAAAGCTACAAAAAAGTGAGGGTTTGCCTGATCATATGGTCGATCGTGAACAGGAAGAAGAACGCGGTGTTGCTTCTGGTTTTTACTGTTCCTGTTTTAGAGTCAGCAAATCTGCATGCAGCATTGTATTGTTTCTGCGTGCTTCTATGTATTCATGTTAACTATGAAAAGGAAAACAAATTAGGATGGCTTCATCACATGATGATGCAGAATGGAACAGAGACCGAAATCAAATGATTCTTTACAGACTCAGTCAGAAGAATTGGCAGAAAGTATACATATCCATGCACTAGTGGTGAGCATCTTCTTCTTCGCAACACTTGGTGTCCTCCTTGGAGCTCGTCGGAGAATTCAACTCTGAGGGGGGGGCTACTGGGTCGAACCTCGATCATCCATCCGTCTTCGTATGGGCTCGAATTGATCTAAACAATAAAAGATAGCAGATCTGAAGATTCATAAGGTGAAGAAAGGAACCTTAGTTTGGTGAATTACCACCAGACCGGGTGTCTCGGTTAGCTTCGTGTTCACTTCAATTACTTCACCGGAGACGGAGGAGTTCACAGCTCCAAAGCTGCCTCCTTTGGTCACTGACTGCACTACCGGATTCCGGCAGCTCCACGACGGCACTGTGATACATGTTTGGCCAAGTCGACTATGTCAGAATTTGGTTCTTCTCACCGTGGCAGATATTACAAAGAAAATAAAAAGTTAATATTTATTTTTCTTTGTAAAAAAGAATGAGAATTTGAGGAATTAATATTATGACGTCACATTGTTTCAAGATCATAAAGTATTTAGAATAAAGATCAAACAAGGATGGGAACCCAAAAACAAATTAGAACTCATAAGAATAAAATCTTCTTATATCAAAAGTTATGATTCATTTAAGTGTAGAAAAATTAAACAATACTTGTTGGTAATTTTTTTCCTAAATAAAAAAAATATAATTTTTCCTTTTTTTTATAAATTCTTCCATGCATAATTTAGCATGCAGTAAAAAATGATGAAAAATGAAAAAAAAAAAAACATTATAGGTTTTGGTTAAAGAAAAAAATTATCTCAATAATTTTAATAATAATAATAATAATGATTATTATTATGTTCAATATATTATTACATTTAATAACTTGATCAGTTATAAGCGTTTTGGATACAAAGAAATCAAGGCCGTTCATCAGGTATATCTTCCTTCACGAAGCTTGACGCGGATTGCCTGTATTTATCTTCTCCCCAAGCGTGACTCCTCGTTCGCTCCGCCAAAAGCAACTCGTGCCTTGGAGAGTTGCTCGCTCTCTCTCCCACTCGCTCGATCTCGATCTCAAATTCACGGAGACGCGATTCTCCTTCTCTTCTCTCACTCCAGATCGGAGTTCTTTTTCCTTCGAAAGGTACGATTAATCTGACTGCAGGGTGGGTCGATTTGATTGCTTTGTTGGACAATAGTCACGTTCTGTTATCTCAGTTAGCATTTCTTTGAAGAAAGACTCGAGTGGATGTTATGCTTGTGTCGATCTGATGATGTGCAATGGGTCCGGTGGGGATTATTGTTTGGTCATGTGCTTTTCTTGGAGAAAGAGTGCGAGTCCTTTCAAGATTTGGAGTTGGTTTCTTGTGGTTTGCGTTCTTGGGGTTTTGGAGTCGAGGGTTTGAGGCTGATGGACTGATTGATCTTACTAGGGTCTGATGGTGTGCAATGGGTTGGGTGGAGATTATTAGGCGGTCATGTGCTTTTCTTGGAAAAAGAGTGCGAGTCCTTTCAAGAATTGGAGCTGATTGCTTGTCGGAGTTTACATTCTTAGGGTTTTGGAGTCGAGGGTGTTTGAGGCTGATGTTCCGATCGATTTTACTGGGGATTGAGACGGATGAATTGGATGATGATTTTAGGGTAGAAAAAGACCATGAACGAACTCGATATGTTTTCTTTGCCGTTATTACCATTTGTGTAAGTCGATTGGCTTTGGATGATGAGGTTTATGTTGGGTGCATCATACCATGGTTATATGACAACAAAGTGATTTTTGGCTCTTTTTTTCTTGGTTGTGTGTAGTCGGATTTGTTATTCAGTGTAGAAGGATGCAGAATTTGAAGTTCGTCTGTGAGCCACTGTAATTTTGGTTTTAGCGCCATCCTTGAATTTTGTGATGGTTGTTGAACACAGGTATTCGATAGCCTGGGGTTCTTCCCGGATTATATATATATATATATATATGCAATTTAATTTACTCTAAGGCATTTTCATCTTTTAAAAAAATTATTGAAGTTAATCATGTATCAGTTAACATGTGGTTACCTGCCAACCTCATGTTTATTCTTTATTATTTTTCCTTCAATTTGTTCCTGTTGTTTTTCTAATTTGTTCTTTCATGACATAGACACATTGTTACTGATAAAATTTTGTATACAGTTTCAGAATGCTTTGTTTCAAATACACTCCATCAATTTTGTCAGGAGTGGCCATGACAACTTTTCCTCAGAAAACTTGCCATATAGTGGTGAGTTTACTGTAAAGTCTAGAGCAAATAAGTTATTATGTATTGGCAGGTATCTTCTAATTGATTATTACAGATTATATCTGTCCCAGAATTCCAACTATGTGTGTCAGTTTATCTATCTAGAACTTTCTTTCTATTAGTCAAGCAATAACATAATTTTTTTTGTAATTACTTTGAGAATAACTTGTCTTATGTTTAAAGGACCAGTTTCTCTTCAGTTATCTTTTCTAATGCTTCTAGAATTCTATTGTGGGTGATGTCTGTATATGGAATCACAGATGTGCTATTGTCTAGCCAATGTATGACAATACTTCGAAGGAAGTACCAGTAACCCTTTTTAATTATCGATCATAACATGTCTTGCATGTTCTTTATTTTCATTTCGGGCACTCTCTTGAGCTTATGATGTGTAATACTCCATTCAATGATTAAAAAATGATGTTTATATAGGCATAACTATTCCCTCTATTTTGTGCTTCATTCCTCTATTGTCGTGTTGTGCTTTTACTAGTCTAATATCACGATACATAATTTATGTTGAAGACTGCGGGTTGTTGGAGAAAATCCTATGTTCAAGAAATAATTGCTTTTCGTTACATAGTATATCCAAGAGAAATTTGTAACCACAAAACTGAGATGCTTTCCATACATTAGGCAAGAAATGGGTCTAATTCTTGACTTGGGACTCCAATGAATCTTAGTATCTAAGAGGACTAATTACATATTATCCCTTATAGTTAGACTCCTTAGTATCCTAGTCCCTAGACTTAAAAAGTTTACATTAGAATCTCTATAGTTATGAATGTGAAACATCTAGCTCCATTTTTCCTAACATTGTCAGTTTTACCAACGGAAATATAAAAGCAAAGGCCATATTGTTAATTTTAATGTTCTTGTTAGTGGTGACAGACGACGTTGATCGTGGTGGATGGTGGCATTGTTGTGGATGAAGAGAGCGGCGACGAGACGTGAGGGCCGCTCAACAACTATGTCAATGCTGACGCAGATGCAGAGCAGCGAAAAGACTTCTTGGGTGGTTATTGTGGATGAGGAGAGTGATGACAAGAGACGAGGGCAGCTCTACATCTGCGTCGACGTTGACATAGTTGTCAAGCTGCTCTTTCGTCACTCTACATCTGCGTCGACATCGACGCAGATGCAAAGCGACCCTCACCTCTCGCAGATGCAAAGTAGCTCTCACCTTTAGCTGTCGCTCTCCTCATCCGTAACAACCACCTGAGTGGCCCTTTCACCGCTTTGCATCTACGTCGGCGCTGATGCAGATGCCGAGTGGCCCTCACCTCTCGTTGTCGCTCTTCTTATCCACAACAGCCACTCGAGCGGCCCTTTCGTCGCTCTGCATCTACGTCATCATCCATGCAGTTGCTAAGCAGTGAAAGGGTCATCGATGCAGATGTCGAATGACCCTCACCTCTTGTCATCGCTCTCCTCATCCACAATAGTCACCGGTGGCCTTAGTGGCGTCACCGTCTGTCACCACCAACTGGAACATTAAAAATATATTTTTACCTTTTGTTTTCATGTTTTCGAAGGTAAAACTGACAACATTAGGATAAATTGAGCTAGATGTTTCACCTATTAACTCTAGGGATTATAATGTAAATTTTTTAAGTTTAGGGACCGGGATGTTAAAGAGGTTTAATTACACGAGATAATTTGTAATTAGCCCTATCTAAGACACTACTTTGTTTGGGTTTATTGATGTTGAAAGTTTTGTCTTCATCCTCTAATGGAAATTCACGTAGTTTATAGGCTGCTGAAATGCTTTATTAACCTTGCAATGAAACTACAATTTCCTTTATTTGCCTTTGAATTCTGATCATCATACTAGTTGCTTTTGTTACTTTCAAAAATCATATAATTTATAACTTTCTGAATCTTAGTTATTTTCATCATAGTTGTAGATATCACTTTATTCCAATTGCAATTGCTTGATCTATTTTGTGTATCAACGCAACACAATCAAATTTTGTCTGATTTCTCAGCCGTGTAGTAAAAAATCATTTAGAATTGGTAAAAATAAACTGAAGTTGAATGGAAGTTGCAAAATTTGTTCAATTGTAGCAGATTTAATTGTCTCAAAAAAAGAAAAGAGGGCAGGAGTGGAAGTAGATTTATATTTGCCATAGGTGGTAGCCATAAGAGGGGAGATATTGAAGAAGAGAGAGAAAAGTAAGAAAAACATAGGGACATATGACTATGATTGTAAAATAGAGAAACACTGCTACTATTGTATTTGTTATTTGCTGCTATTGTATTTGTCATTTGCCAGAAGTTGTGTGATATTAGTCATTGGTCATTGCACAAGATAGAGGGGAATGCTATAGGGAAAGATGCAGATAGGGATAGCCTTTTAACTTCTTTATGAAATAAGAATGACAACAAACAAGGGGATGCCATGACATTTGGGAATAATTTCAAATCCTTGGTGACGTCTTCAAAAAACAAATTATTTGTATCTGAATTACTTACCTAGCACCTCATAATGGGGGCTGTCACCTATCTTCAGAGCTGTAGTTGGACAAATTTTGGTTCATCTTTTTGACATGATTATTTAATGATATATTTAATTTTTTTTTTTAAATATTCTATATTTATTTTTTTTAGTGAATGTTACTATATTTTGTATTTTGTTTCCATATGTCTTTTAAGAGTTTGATATTTAATAGAATGCGTAGCTAGACTAGAAACACACACACATATATATACTTTTATGTATTTTTATTTTTTGGTTGACCCCGATCCTGCTGATCTGATTGACTAATTTCACTAATCTCGATCATATTGATCTAGCTGATCCTGGGCTTGTGATTGATTTTTGTTGAAATTATATTGGGGTGTAAGATTTTCCTTCCGTAGCTAGAACTGTTGATTCCGTGGTTTCTTTCATCAAACCCCAGAAATTAATCCCAAGTACTACGAACAGATTTTTCTGGATGGCAACCTCAAACGCTCAATCATCAGCAAGGTTTATCCGATCACCCTCGTGCTGCAGTATAATTGATTGGTTATCAGCTTACTCAGGCATCTAGTTAACTTGAAAGCTTTCTTTGTTGCACCAGAGGAATTGGCTACCCCATGATTTTCATAAGAGATAATTATAGTAAATATGATTTGAAGCTCAGGTATTAGAGAACTAGATTGTCCGTGTAACATTTACAGCTACACTACTATTTATATCTGGCATCACAGGATATCTAAACCTCCGGCAGAACCTGCAACAATCACCATCCAGTATACCATCTCCGATTGGCAAGTAAATATTTTACAACCATTTTTCTAACTCTCGGGCATATCCCTTAGAACCTCATTTTATCTCTATGTATGTTACACCTATTGTAAATATTAGTAATCCTCTCAATGCTTCACTTAGGACGGATGATGTATGCTCATAAATGGTTATACTAGATAACCTGCTCACATATTCAAAATTGTGACAGTTCCAGAGTTTATGACTTGTAGATCGACACATTTTTATTTGCTATTAATTTTAATGTCTAACAATTCTGTTATCACCCAGTTTTAGAATTTTATACTGTCATGATACAGTGGTGTGTTGCCTTGGTAGCAAATTCACGAAAGATTTTTGATAATGCATAAGCATGCTGATGTGTGCATAAAATTACAAATCTTTAACTTGTCTTGCAATGTTACCACTGTGCCAGGTTTGTGAAGCAAGAGGCCCTAGACCCAGATTTCCTCGTGTATGGAAAACTAGAAAGAGAATTGGGACTATTTCCAAGTCACAGAAGCTTGTTGAATGTGTAAGATTATTTTTTCCCTTTCGTAGCAGCACTATAGCAATCATGGATGTGTGTTGAATTGTCTTGCATAAACGCATATATGTTTTGAATTGTGTTTACCAAGTCATCTCTTATGCTTATGGGCCCCCTTCTCTAGTTACTCTGGTTCCTCACTTTGATAACCACATATATGCTTATGTTTTGAGTTGCTTTTCTGGATAAAAAAGATAGTATTGTTTTTTTTTTGTAGATAAAAGGATTATCGAACGTGAAGGAAGAAGTTTATGGAGCACTTGATTCGTTCGTTGCCTGGGAGTTGGAGTTTCCACTGATAGTGGTGAAGAAGACATTAAAGACATTCGAGATTGAAAGGGAATGGAAAAGAATAATTCAGGTACAGCAAAGTATTCTTCTTAGTGGAGTTTCTATTTTCTTTGTTTTGTGAAATCATAACTTTTATGCTATAATAGGTGGTCAAATGGATGTTCAGCAAGGGTCAAGGAAAGACCATGGGAACCTACTACACGTTGTTAAATGCTTTAGCTGAGGATGGACGACTTGAGGAGGCAGAGGAACTTTGGATGAAAATATTTTCAGAGAATTTGGAAAATTTGCCTCGTGTGTTCTTCATGAAGATGATGTCAATATACTACGACCAAGGCATGTATGAAAAGATGTTCGAGGTAAATGCAAGTCCCTTTGCTCTATGTCCTGTGTCCTCTTTGTGCTTATGTTGGCCATTTCTCTTAGCTTACCTGCACAGCATGCTATTCCTGATACATTTTTGACAAGAGAGTGTTTGTTGATAAGAGACATGCTATTCATGTTTCTTTATCCAACATGCTGATTTGGTCACTTTATGTAGGTTTTTGCTGACATGGAGGAACTGGGAATTAGGCCAGATATGTCAATCGTCAACAAGCTAGGTGATGTCTTTCAGAAATTAGGTATGTTGGACAAGTATGATAAATTGAAGAGCAAATATCCTCCGCCCACATGGGAGTATCGGTACATCAAGGGGAAACGTGTTAGGATTCATGCAAACCAAATACAGGGATCAAATGTAGAAATCTCATAACACATACAGAGTGCAAAGTTCTGATATATTCAGCATGGCCTGGAATTGGAATTGGAATATTTGGAAGATTATCTGTGCATGGCTGGCAAGCGGAAAAATGGGTCTACTACGTTTGGCCGTTTGATGACTTGATGTCATTCACAGCAGGGCAAAAGGATAAATGGTGTCATTAGTATATCAGTATTTTTGTTTTGTCCAAAAGGTGTCAAAATTATGGATGACACTTATTGACTGGCTTCCTTTTGTGCTTGGACGCCTTAGGGGTGTCAATTTCAATGAGTTGCGAGGCACAATTCATGAGAAGTTATCTGCCTCATTTTTTATTTCTTGTAACATACATGAGATTCTCTTGATTTGATCAATTGCTCATGTTTCCTGGCGTTCTGACAGCTATTTATTGGATACCAGCTGCAACCTGGCCAAATCCATGGTAGAAGTCCCTCGTTACCTGAAGTGAAAAAAAAAAAAAGCCTGCAAACAATCTTCATTTTCTGTACATTGGACAGAAGGCTGTCTGCAGCCGGCGAATAATCTCCACACTGCTTGCAAACCTAGAGAGGCCAGTATGACTTTCGTCAATCGAACATGTTACATACTAGTTTAGACTATGAGCACACGTGAATTATCAGTGGATAAAAACATGATACACGTGAGTTATCTGACTCTGTAAGAGTGCTGATGGTCATGATAAAAATAGTTATATGAAAACAGTTATATTTAACAAATTTAATCCTCCTCCGTTTTTGTTGCTGTCTTATTTAAATTGGAAGGATTATATTTGACTATTAGAAGAGATTTGAAAATGCAGTAATCTGGTTTACTGTCTGTCCAGGCAGATGTGTAACTATTTAGGGGACAAATAATATCAAATGATTAAGGTGGTTTAGCGGACAAATAATCTCAAACACGTTTGATGTTGTATAAGAATATTTAATCTGCTCAATGGGCAAATTTTGTCATATTGGGAATTAGGCTTTTGCTGACATGGAGGAACTGGGAATTATGTCATATTTAATCTGCTCAATGGGAATAGACATGGTAATATTCTGGATGCTGGGAAGCACTTAAAGCAATATTATAAGTTTAATTTATCATCCACGTCCTTGATTCCATTATCATGAAATATACATCAATGATTAAACTATAGGTCCAAACGTCTCTTTTTTTCTATTGGAAGCATAATCCTATGAACACCCGGGATAAGCTTCCTTGGTGCAAGGTGTTTGCTAATAGAATTATCTTGCTTCACAAGAGTTGAGTTGAAACAAATTCTTCCACAAGTTTTCTGGTTCTACAGAATACCAAATTTCTCAGTAACCTATTTTCATTTTTACCATTATTTTTTTCTGCTGAAAATGACTGGTTTTAGATTTTTCAAACCCTGCTTTAATAAATATGACAACCAAACACTGTCATAAGCATATCATGACTTCATCAAATTGAACTCTATTTGACAACCCACGCTATTGGTAGGACCCATCCTAACCATCCGAAATTCTAAGGGCACAAGAAGACCCAAAAAGGAATCAAAGCACTCATTGACATATTTGGTGATTTCATTTTCCAAACTAATAATGTATACTATATTTGATTGACACCGAGAAGCACATTCTATTGAAGACGTAAAAGATCAGCTATCAACAGGATACAACTTGATTAGCATTACTCATTGGATTGGGTTAATTATAGATTACATGACATGTAGACTTAAAAATTTTATATTAAAATCCCTATAATTATAAAAATAAAACATCTAGGTCAATTTACTATAATATCATCGATTTTTATCAATAAAAATATAAAAATAATAAATAAAATAAGTAATTTTAATATTTTAATTGATAGTGAAAGATAGGAATGTCACTGAGGGTAACAGAAGACTATTGTTGATGAGAAGAGTGATAATAAGAAATAAAAACTGACACAAATGCAAAACGACATCGCTCAACAAATACGTTAACGCCAATGCAAATGCCTTCGTCGTTGCTCTTATCATCCACAATAATCACCTGTGATCCATAGCGACGGTACCATCTACCACCATTGATATCTTCTATTATTATTAACTAAAATATTAAAATTATCTTTTTATATATTTTTTTTATGTTTCCGATAAAATCGATGATATTAGGGTAAATGAATATAGATATTTCGCTTTTGTAACTATAAAAATTTTAATATAAATTTTTTAAATCTAAAAATTATAATACTAATGACATCTAACTAAATAAAAAAATTTATAATTAATCCTTACTCAGCATCTACGGATCCAACCACTTCTTACTCGTCATCTTGTCTTAAAAAGTCTTGCCCACCGAGTCCAAATATATGACAGATTACCTGTTCTATTCTCACCCGTGACATGGGAAAAATCTAAAGCTACAGAAGAACAAGGTCACTATGTACCCATTTCTTTAATCGAACTACTTGTCCAAAAGACAGTACCAAAAGTTCAAACAACCGCATCATTGACGCGACTGATTTGACATTTGGGACTCCCTAACCAAAAACAGGTAGGAGAGGAAACATAACACACGTTCCGTCGGAAAACGGAACAGACGTGGAGTAACAGTCTAGATGGAGAAATCCACACCTGCTGAACGCTCCCCGAATTCAATGTCGGTGAACGTAAATAAAAAAATCCACAATATAAGAAAAAAGAGAAGAAAAAATTGATCGATTCGTTAAAAACCAAAGAAAATCAAAGAACAAAGTGTTTCAAGAGTTACGTCGTGTGTTTGGCTGTGATAGAAGCCGGGCTCATGACGGCAGACGAGGAGATCGATGGCTTTCATGTTCTTGATTTCATGGTTGACGAAGTAATGAAAATAATCGATGGGTTGCTTCACCAGCCCTCGCACCTGCACCCAAGAACCATCCACCACGAGACCTTTTCAAGCATCTCCCAACGGAAAGACCAAAGATCGAACCAAGATCAAGATCGAGGGAAAGTTGTGTACCCTCAAGAAGGCGGCGCGGAGCTGGATCTTGTCGATGGCTGATTTGACGGGCGCCGCGAGGGATTTGGTGGTCACAACCGAGCTGCGAAAGGAGAAAGATGGATCCTAAGATCGAACGAGGGCAATCAACGTTCTTCTTTCTTGTTTCTTGAAAGAGATCGAATTAGTGGAAGCTCCATTTGAGGCGATGGAATCGCCCTCTCGTCGGACGATCTCCGTCGCGCTGTCTCGATCGCTCAACGAAGAGATGCATCGTCGTCCGAGGGAAATAACCGACAGGCGCCGGCGCGTGCTACTTATAGAGCGAGAAGGATCGCGTCACGAATTGTGCGCGTGGGATCAGATGAGGAACGCAGCTGATGGACGGTTCTCGAAAGCGTGCAAAGGACTGCGGCCTCAAGCGTGCGAAGGGCGGTCCGTTCGAAAATTCGACTCCAAAACCACACTGCGTAGTCCCCTAAGCTTTACGATTCGTGCGAGGCTGATGGCCGACCGGCCGAGCAGCATGGGTTGAGAACCGAACCACTCGAGGTTGGATCCCAAACCCATGGAATTAAGGCCTGGTCCAATAGAAAACTTCACTGCTTACCAATTGAAATGGAAAATAGAGGCAATATTTCACGATTTTAGTGGAATACTCTCAAAAACCTCACTGAAGGAACTCCACCTCTAAGATCCTATCATCCAAATTCCTCTTTTGAGATCTTAAGATCCAAATTCTAAGGATGCCTGTGGAACTCTCCAAGGTAAGTATTTATTAGCAGGTGATAAATACTAAATGGGGCAGAATTTGGGTGAAATCTCAGAATTCTAGGGAAATCCTTGTATCAAACAATACTCTTAAGGATCTAAGTTCTAATGGTGGAAAAGATATCATATCATCGATGCAATGACGCAGAGTTTTCTGTGGCCAAACACTGCCAATCCATGCAGAGTATCTGATAACTCATGAACCAATTTTCTGCAATTATTATCAATTGCTAAATGAGAGATACATGTGATCCTTCAAACTGGAGAAAATACATTCAAAGGATCATGCTAGCAATCATTCGAATTATCTTCAATGATAAATCAGTGATATCTAAAGACTTCACTATAACTTACAAGAGGAACTCAGACCAAGAAACACCATGCACAACCCACCAATTTGCAAAATCACTGACAAACTCTGTTGTTATGATGCATCAATTTTAGCCAAGAATTATTCACCTAAAAATAAGATATATATATAAAGGCCAAAAATGCCTCACAGTTGCGAAATTAAGAATTTATTCGGCATTTGCAAATATGCATATGCTAATACTGTGATCACCAGCATATGCATGTATCTAAGAGCTGGCACCATAAACCCTAATCCTCTCCTCAATCCTGACATTGCAACAAGGGCAACTACCCTTGCCCTTCTTCTCATGGTCCTCATTGCAGCATGCACATACAACCTGATGAGAACATGGTAAGAAGACGACTGAAACTTCATCCTTCTTGCAGATCATGCATGCCCTGCAGCGGTTGAGTTTGTTAGATGAGTCTTGTGGTTTACTGAACCCAGTGGGTGCTTTCACATTGGTCTCTTTAGGTGCTTTAACATCTGCATTTGTTGTCCTCAAAGAATTCGCCGGTGGAGTGATCACCACAGTTGATCCTGCAGTTGCCTTGAGACGAGCAAGCTCTTCCTCAAGCCTCTGAATATCGTCCTTGTGGCGTTGATAATCTATTTCTATTTTTCGTCGCAGTGCTTCATGTCTTCTGCTGGCATTGACCTTAGCAGCTTCCTTGGCTTGACGTTCTTCCTCAGCCAGCACAATGGCTTGTTCTTTGGCCTTTATTTCTTGCTTCCATTTCATCTGCATGTTAGAAAGTACTTGATATGTGAAATTTCAGCCAAATGGAGTATCAAATGATAAGCACATCATGTCAAACTACTGGCATATCAGCTAAGCTCAAAATCAAATGCATTTAACTCAAAACTACAACTGAACGAAAAGAACTGTAAAAAAAATCCATAAATCAGCCATGACCTTGGAGAATGGTATCTCTTGGTTTCAAAATTATTGCAGATGCAAAGGGGTTCATTTCAAGCACCAAAATGTATTCTGTCAGTTGCTGCATGCTACGTACGGGTAGAAAGGTACTCATGATTACCATATTTAAGCTAGGGATGCAGAAGATGATAGGGTATTATAACAGAAGCAATTTAGTCCAAAGCATGGTTCTGTGAAGTTTGACGCTGGAGATTTAGTACTTTTTAAGTATATCATATGTTCTTTTTCAATGTTGGATGTGTTAAATCAACTGTAGAGGTTTGCCCTCATGCAGAGGATCTTTTGAAAATGAAAATGTACACCACATTCAGATCTGGAATAGAACTCTCAGCTGTTCCAAAAACACAAAAAAAGAAAAAGATTAAAGGAATTAGAGTGGATGCAGTGAATGTGCTCTCTACCTATGATGTCAGTTGTCCAAGACTTAGCATGTCGTCATTGTTGATGAGCTTACTTTGGGTTAATGGGACTGTGGAATGTGGACAAGAACAAATGTACAGTAAATAATAGAAAAATGAATAATCAATCTTGGAACCTGTGTCCAAACATGGGCAGGAAAACAAAAGTTGGACTGACAGATGCAGATGACTCGATAGGACTTGCAATTGCTAACCTCATTGATATGTACCATTAGGATGAGAAAATTTTCACATTCCTTGTGAAAGCCCACTTACCTTCTTCTGCGTAGAAATTGTTGGAATCATATTAATCTGACAAACCCAACCTGGACTTTTGTTGACATCTGCTAAGTACATTGGTATAGAGCTGGAGTGGTTCTTGACAGATGGGGTATTGAAGCAGAAATAGCTATGGGGTACTTGAATATGGAGGAATTAAAAGTAAGATACCTGAGAGATGCACATATGCTCAAAGACACTTTGGCATTTGATTAATGACCATTCTCGTATTAAATGTATGGTTGAAGAAGTATGTGAAATCCAAAGAGAAATCCAATTTGTTGCAGGCACTGAATATTGCAACCTTGGGATGACTCTAATGCGGATGATATAAAAATACAGAAAGGAAAAGAAAGGAGGGTGGCGAGGGTTGCAGGACCTTACTTTTATCTTCTTCCTACTATTTTGTGCTCCTCCTATTCACCTTCTAAGTTGAAACTCTGATGGGATGGAGTTTAATTCCAATCAAATGGAGGGTGAGTATTGATTCTTACTTGAGATCATACGAGAAATTCACTCAAAAGGATAGCAAATAAGAACTTGAGATTAATTGTGATTGAATTTTTATATAATTTCTAAAGAGAATAAGAAGCACTATTCATGCTCCTCTTTCCCCTCCATATATTCTTTTCATACCACGGCAGACATAGAACATCACAACAATGGTACAATGGTAAAAAAATGGTAATGTGACTATCACATCAACTACCAAAAATACAGTAGTAGAAACCTCTCCTATGTGGCTACAAGGCAGCAGAAAATTCAGGCAAAATCATACCTGTATAAATTGGTTATACATCAACTACCATGAAATCATGAACTATGCTGCCAACCCTAACTTTATATTCTAACAAAGGAGGAGAAACATATTAAAATAAGGAAAAAAATGATAATCAGATAGCAAACTGTAAGATGAAAAGGATTAGTTCACAACAGCAACCTGGAGATGAGATTTTTCATATGATTAATATAATGACTGGATAATACATCCTATACACCAAAGAATGTGTCATGGCCTTTAAGTGATAATTTCATACCTTATGCCTTGGTGTTTTTCTAGTTAATTTCTCATAACAATGATATCTGTTTTTAAGTTTCTGCAGCTGTGCTATTTTCTCTCTCACAGTCTTAGTGCCTCAATTTAATCCAAGAAACCTTCAATCTTTTCATTATGGATTGATTACACTTAGTGCCTTTTGGTAAGGAAAATAACTCATGATTCAAGCCTCTTGTTTCAAGGCAGCAGCCAGATCATTGGCACTGCAAAAGACAAACTCCAAGTGCCACAACACCCTCCAGGGCCTCAACCTATGTATAACATGGTGAATGCTCAAGCACATCACAAAAAATCCTCTCGTCAACTTAACTTCTGTTTCAATAGAGCATTCTAATATGTTGTGATCCTAATAAAAAAATGGATTTGGCCTCCATCTTCAACATGTAAGAAGCCAATAGCTAATTCATGAAACAGCAATAAGATACTATTGAATGGCATATAATCAGAAGATACTCGACGCAGTCTATGAGATGCAAGAAACGGATAGTTTTCCGGACTACCTCATATTCCTTTGTTGCAGCCCGAACTTCATCCAACTGTTGCTGCATCTGCACGATCTTCTTCTTCTCCGAAGAAATTTCCCCCAGCATCTTCTCCCTCTGCTTCTCCCAAGCTACCAGTTTTTTAAGGCATTTCTTCTCCCTCCTTGCCACTTCGGTGCATGTCCTTTCAGACTCTGATGCGCTCAGCTTGGAAGCCTCTATTTCAGCTCTTATCTCTGCGTTCTCTGTTTCTAGCTGCCGGACCACAGCATTTGCTCGGTCCACCTGCCCACTCACCTTCTTTAGTGCATTCTCCATCTCAGACAATCGTTTCATAGTTGTGTCCTCCAATGCCTGCTTCCCATTCTTCAGACGCTGGTTTTCCTCCCTTTCCATCCTCAGCACCTTCAGCTCCGTTAGGTCATTGCTCAGCTTGCGAGCAGCCTGCAATGCTTTCTGCTGAGCCCACTCTTGGCGCTCCTTCACCTGAGCCTCGAGGTCCCGAATTTGGCGAATGACATCCAAGATCATCTCTTTTTTTGGATCCTCCACGCCGTTGTCCTCTAGGCTCATGCCTTCCAAAGCCTTGAGCACAGAATTCACGACACCAGTGTCCAGGGAGCCATTCTCCACTCTATCGCGAGCAGAAGCAATATACTCCTTCAGTTGTTCATCCTCTGAAGCCAAATCAGAGGCCGCTGGACGTGCAGGTGGCTTTATGAAAGGGCGAAAACCTGAAGCAGTAGGAAATGTGGAGGCAGGACGCCTCGGGGCGGGTTTCATAGAAGGCTGGATTGGATCAGCAGCATTACCATTGCTGACGGAAGCGGCAGCCGTGACGGTGGCCGCATGAAACTTGCAAAGATTAACAGCAGGAGTAAACTCGCCGATAGCACCGCCAGCAGTGGTGGGGACAGCGACAGGGGCCAAGGGAGGGGCGGTGGAGGGGTAGGCGGCGGCAGACGGTACCGGGATCTCTATGGTGCTAGCGCGGCCGACGTGCAGGTCGCTCATCAAAAGGCACCACATGGCATCACCACGAGTGAGATTGGGGCGCACCTGAAGGAGGAGGCAGACCATCTCGGCGAGGGAATACTCCTGGAGGTGGCGGAGATCGGCGAACCCGTTCCCGGGCACGGCTGCGACGGCAGAGGGATCCTGGTGGGCCGCCCGCGGCGGCGGCGGAGGGGGAGCGGTGAGATGGGCCACGGCATTCTGGACGATGTTGGAGACAACATCCGACGACCCGTAGCAGCGGCCATTGCAGAGGACAGCGCGGAGCGCGGCCTCCTCGTCGTAGCCCATCGACACGACCCGCGCGAGGGCCTCTCTGTAGAAGAAGTCGAGGTTCTTGAGGAGGAGTTCCTCCAGTTGCTCCTCCGTGCAGCAGCCCCATCCGCCGTCGTCATCGTAGCCGCCCGGGATAGGGTTAGGGTTAGGGCTGGCGGAGCAATGGTGGGGATCCGGATCAGCCGAGGGAGCAGCAGGGTGAGCGGGGAAGGAAGGGGCGGGAGCGGAGGCAGCGGACTCCGGCGCGTGCTTGGGGGCGCGGCGAGCCTTCCGGCCGCCACGCACCGATTTATCCCTAGCGTTGCTGCCCATCAGAGACGGCGGGGCGCGATCGGTGTTGGGATCGGGGAGCGATTGCGTTCTGCTGCTTTGGGGGATGATCGTAGGAGACATTGATTAAGGTCTGGCGAGAGCGAGTCGGGAGTCGAGATGAGGGCGGCTCGGCGCGGGAGGGGAGGAAAGCCGAAGCCGTCTCGCGGAGGGCTTCCGGTCAGGTTGGAGGGCCGTCGGATCATAACAATGAAAGGATTGACGGTGGATGATGAACGTACAAAGCTCAACCATCTGGATTTTGACAAGTGGTCGGATGATGGACGATGGATGATGTTTGAAATGAGATAATCTCGCAATATATCTGATTCGATTAAGATTCTCAAATTAAATCCATTTATTAGCATTGTTAATTGTGATTCTATATAACCCAATATTTGACCTAAAATATCGGAAGCGTATTCCAAATTTGGATCTACTAACTTATTAGATCTGGATATTGATATGTTAAATATTTTGTACCTAAGTTAATTACCATATTCAAATTTAATATAATATGTGCTGATCATTCCAACATATTCTCTCTTCAGCCCGCTAAAAACTTTCATGGGCTTTCGGTCTTGAGGTCTATTATGGGCCTTAAGCCCATAATAAGACACTACACCATGAAAAGCCCATTAGTCTATGTTGATGCAAAATAATAGTCCAAAGAGTCAATAATAAATTATAAATTTTAGAAAAAATATAATTGATGCAAGATTTATATGGTCCATTATTTCTCATTTATATTCATCCAAGAAGAAAAAATAAAAATATTACCAAGTACAAGTTTTTATTATATACTTTGTTGAGATAAACTGCTTCCAAATCTAATAAAAAAAACCTTAAGAGAAATAACTATTATGGTGATTGTACAATAATAAAATTATTTTTTATGATATGAGTGATTATAATTTGAGTAATAGAAATAACTATTTTGAAGTTTCGAACATTTAAAACTTTGGAGGATGAGAGGAAATTTCAAAATCAAAATAATACCGAAAGATCAATAAGATAAAAATTGTACAAGAAAGTCGACGTAAGATTTAACATGATTCGATAGATCTTCTCTTTATTCACGGATAAGAATCAAATTCTTGTGAGATGAATTATAAAACTTTGAGTTTTTATTTTGGTGAGTTTTTTTTTTTTAAACTTTATGCCTCCTATAAAAATTGAACCATTGGATTAAAGAATTCATGATAACTATTTAGACTAAATTAATTTATGATCCATGATTTCAATAAGTCTACTAATGTATCCTATATAACTGGTGACACCATGTGATTCCAAATGAAGACCTTCATCTAATTGTCTTATCACCATCAGGATTTTTTTTTCTCACATCTATCTATATCCTAGAAATCATGAATATTATCCTTTATTTTCTGCATTATAAACAAAGCTCATTATTGTATGTACCTATCATCTTCCAACCATTTGAAGTCTTTACTATATTCTCTTTCAAGTGGTATACAATCTTTGATGTAATCTTTGTTTCATTATGTAACCTAAAGTAATTTTTAAAAATTTATCTCCAACCTTATAAACATAATCTTAGGAATCTAAAAACCTCAAAGAAATTAGATTCTTCATATCTTTAAAATATAAGTCACATATACCAAAGTATACATCACTCCTCGATCATCATTTATGATCTTTCATTTACTGACACCTATGATCTTCGCTTTAGAGTCATCGTCTTTTGGAAAGATACATCGTAACCTTTAAATATTGTGAGGACATCTCTATCACTATCAACCACAAAAGAGCTTTCATTAGTCTCTTCTTCCTATTTCTTTTTCGTTGAACAATTTTATCTTATATGTTCATTCTCTTTACATCTATAATACTAAATACTATCCAAAGACCTGACTTCACGCTAAGATCTACTCCTTTCAAAAAATCCTCCTCATTGACCTTTGCCTTGAGCAACTAATGTCTCACCATTTATGTTCTTAAATTTATCTTTTTCTTATAAGCATACGACACTAAAGCTTCTTCAACTTGTTCAAGAATTATTGTATCCATCATATACAATATCGTCTCCATAAAGCAATAATGTTTTATCATCTGCATCAATCTTCGTATCAACTTTCTTCAATTGATCGAATATTCCTTTCAATATATTGAGATGCTCTACCAATCTCTACCTTCCTCCATTTGTTAAATACAACACGTTAGTTAAGCTTTTTGTTGTATAAAGCTTTCTAACTTATCCCAACGAATGGAGTCATTATCAATAATTATTAAGAATATTATTAGCGATGCAAAGATAAATAATATTCACACACTTTGCCTCAAGTTTCTCTCGATCTTCATCACTTATCTTTTCTTTTTTGTCTATTTACTCCTTCAATGTTCTTGCTAGGTCTTGCTGAATAAGAAAATCCTCTACCCTCTTGGATGAAACTATTTCTTTTATTAATTTTTTTATAGTAACACCAACAAAAACAATTGATGAGATTTATCATTTGTTAGAGAGAAAAGAAGAATTCATAATTCATACTTGAATTTTTCATCTTTTCTTATTCGTCTGTTTGTTCCTTCAACGTTCCTATTAGATCTTGTTGAAACTATTTCTTTCATTAAATTTTTCTATAATAACACCAACAAAAACAATCAATTATATTCTTATTAAATCTCTAATCACCTAATCTTTTCACATCATTTGTTAGGGAGAAACAGAAGAATTCATAATTCATACTTGAATTATTCATCCTTCCATACACTTTGTTGATTGCCACAGGGACATTAACCGTGTAAATATACTTGCCAAGAGATACTATATCTTTCCAACTTGTTTATGATCATTCGACTTTTACACCCCCATGACTTCTGATTTATAAGTCAGTGCCATTCCCCATGAAGTTTACAGTTCATGGGACCAACAGAAACTACACTGTGGGTCAGGGATTCATTCCATGCCCTGAGTGTCTGGTTTTGTGCCATTGGAGATGGATTGGGGAGAATGTGAAGCTGCAGAGGCAGTCAACGAGTCTGCATGCCAAACTCTTGAGAATGGTCCAGAGCTATATTATCGTGATACATGGACCACCTGGATGTGTAGTTACTGCACCATTTCTTTCTCTTCGATTTGAGAAGCCTCTGATGGACAGGAGGAATGTGGGACTCTTTCTGTAAGTTTCTGAATTGTTATCTTCATTTTTACATTTCTCTGTGTTTTTGATCCACAGTGCATGCCTTCAGTTGCTGCAAGTTTCTTTATGCTTGCATCTGTGACTGGAGAATTCATGTTCACTGTTCCATTGGGCTGAAACATCACTTTCTTTGCATGCAACTTCTATCAACTATAGAACAACTAGAACCCAATGTTACTTCTAATTCATCTGCTCTTTGGTTGTGCCGATTAGCAAACTAGTGAGTGCACTTTTCCAAATTTGTTTTCAGAAACTTCCAGTGAGGAGTTTTGTCTCCTGGCCAAGTGGTCCATTTGATTTATCTTCCATTATTGCATTCTGCAAGGAACAATCTCCAGCTTACACAACCTGAAGAGCTGCAGTTTGCTTGTTTGGAATGGTGGATGTTGCTACCAGTGGCTGAGACACACAGACATGTATGGCTGGCCTTCTAGGCGTTTGGAAGGATAATATATTGAAATGCTTGTGGCCTTCCACCAAGGCACAAATTGAGGGTTGTTTCATTGGAAGTTTGGTCCCTCACCATTGTTGTTATCCATGTTAGAGTCATCATCAGTTGAAGCTGCAGGGCCTCTAATGTTGACACTTCACAACAATACAAGCAGGGCAAGATTGCACAAGATATCTTCATCTTTCACAGGAAATAAGGCTGTGTATTGATCTTTCATTGATCCCTGGAGTGTTGGTGTTGGTGGGAGGGATCCTTTTGTACTTGGATTGTAACATAATAGTGAAAATGATATGAAGTCAGTGATAAGGTTGTGGTACCAACACAATATCTCAAGGTGAGACTGACACTACATATGAAGTAAAATATCTACAATTTATTTCAATGGAAAAAAAATAATTGATTTATAACGGCTATACGGGTATGCTATTATTAATATAATTTAAATATTTTGAACTAATGGTTCAAACTGAATAAGCTAACGATGTGTCATGATAGTTATGACAATAAGGTCGACGTGATATTTGATATGATGAGAGATTTAAGTAGAAAGAAGCTATTTAGATCGCGTCGCTGAAATTAAAATACCTTATTTTAGTCCTATATTTAAATGACGATAATTGTAACACTTTATTTTATTTCACACAAGAAGTATCGAGGTCTAAAATGGGAAAGATAATAATACCTCATTTTTAGTTTTAAATAAGAAAATATAGCATCCCATTTTAGTATGTAATGTCTCATTTTAATCTTATAAGTATTAAAGTCTTAAATAAGAGATATAACACCTCATTTTAGTATCGAAATCATTCTCTTCTACTTTTCATTATGGTCATAGATTACGGTGATATAAGTGGACTAAAACACTAGTATTCTCCTCTTTTTCCTTTCCTTGTTCTGAACTGAAAGGGACATGAAGCCTCCAATGGATACAATATCTTCTGAAGATATTGGCTTGTCAATGCGTCATCGTATATATTGGAGGAAGATGATGATGCTCTTATCCACTCTAATCACCTCCTCCACTTGGTGAACTGAATCAAAGCTGTGTCACAGACCACAGATCATCAACCTATGGTGATTAGATTGAGACATGGAACTCCATTTGTTTCTTCTGTAGAAAAAGGATGGGTTTTGTCCTCTGCGCTTTGGCATTAAGAGGCTATTAGCAATCTACAAGTACTGCGAGTGGACCACTAACTTGAATTTGTGGCCTTAGCAACATCCTATGTCAAGAGGATGAGTTCAGCATGACGGTGTCATTAGTCATTTATGATCTAATTAAATTAATCGAATATTCATTTTAGTCTCTAAAGTAAGAAACATAAAACTATGTTAGATCTCACGAATATGAATCTTAACTGATCTTAATTACAGTAAAATATCCATATGATCGATCTTTAATAATTGAGACTTATGATTTTATTTTTATTATTATTGTAACAAATACTAATATTTTATAGGTTAGAAATGGTGGTCCTGTATGTCGGTCATTTGTACCTATCCATTATATTCATTGAAAGAAACATATCATATCTTATATTTTAACTTGCAAGTGCTCATAAATCCTAAAAATTTAAGCTATTAGGAAAGAAATCAATGGATATTAAACTCTCATATTCTCTCAAACCAGAGAGGATGAAATTGACAATTTGTGATATTTGAATAACAATGTGTTAAGAATTGATCAAACTCTGAATAAATCATTATTCTACAAAGAAAGAGAAGTACTCATAAGACTTTGTGATTCGTTGTGAGTTCATCAGATGAAGATTTGAGGTCGGTGGCGGTACGTGGAGGTTCGTGGGCCGCGAGTTCACTGGTACGTGGAGCAAACGCGCATGGTATCGGTCACCACACAACGCCGGGGAGGGAGGGGGAAAGAGTCAAGAACAGTGCAAGGACGCAAAGGAGAAGGCAATGTGATCTTGAAGTCCCACCATCCCTCACTCGACTGTGTATAAAGGTAGTACTGCGAGATCGCTCAGTCTCACCCGCCACCACCGCTATCCTCCAGCAGTAAGGTTCTGTTTTCTGGTGGCTGATTGTTGCAGGAGATCATAAATTTCGTGTGAGATCAACCGAAGAGCAGTAATATGCATCGCAACCTCGATTAGGCTTCACTTCCGCTTCTTGTTTTGGCACAGGCAGTAATGGGAGATTGGAGAATCCGGTTGTCTCTGTGAGGTTGAAGGCTTACACGGCTTTGAGAAGAACAATACTGGCACGGTCGAGCAAATGCCGGTCCCTCTTGCTCCGTATCCCACACCTCCAGCTCCATTAGCACCACCAAATGGTATCCTTGTGCCTCTCTCTCTCTCTCTCTCTCTCTCTCTCTCTCTAAATTATAGCCATATCTGTCATAAAGAACATATAAATCGAACAAATTCTAGATTTTTTTTATCTAACTATTTCTGGAAACATCAACGAAAAGCTTTTGGTACTTCCAATCTTTGATGCTTCCAACCAAAAAAGCCATAGCTCTTGATTTTAGGAATGGGATTGTTAAGCTACATGACTTGTATTGATTTCTAAGCTGTGATGAGATTACCAAATGCTGTTGCAGTAGTGCAAAAGAGGGAAACCCTATGCTCCTTTCTCTCGTCTCAGTTACTGCTACAGAACGTAAATGTTTCTTGGTTTCATGCTCAGGTGGGCAGAGCCAACTTGTTTGTTCTGGCTGTAGAAATCTCCTTCTCTATCCACAAGGGGCGAAATCAGTATGCTGTGCTGTTTGCAGAGCAGTGACCACTGTACCTCCTCCTGGTAATCTCATCTTTTCCTCATCACCGAGCAGCTTATCTTGCACAGCACATAGTGAGAGATCAGGAAGCCTTACGGGCCTCCTCAACGATCGATTCCTGCTTTGCAATGTCCACTCTGAGCAGATGTTTGAGTTTGCTGCAGGGACAGAAATGGCACAGTTGATCTGTGGAGGATGCCACACGCTACTGATGTATATACGAGGAGCAAGCAGCGTTCAGTGTTCTTGCTGTCACACGGTAAATCTGGCTCTGGAAGGTAAGCAGGTGCTCCTGATCAAAAGTCCAGTGTCAGATTTACTTGCTAAATTTCTCATAACATAAATGACATTTTCCAAAGACAATTGTTGCATGAAGATGACAATTACTGGCTCAATTAGTATCATTCTTTCACATATATTTACTGACAATGTGTGACACTCAAAAGAAATCCTGATGAAGCACATGGCAGACTCATTTCTTGACATTCCAATTCATTTATATGCAGTCCTTTGCAGGATAATTAACACAAAATGAACTTGAGACACTTTGGTGGCACACTGGTCGCCGATACCTAATCGACATGCATTTAGATCCTCTTGAATCAGAAATTTTCTTTTTTTTAGAACAGCTAGCAGTAATAGAAAATTATCTAAAGGCCTTCTTTGGATCAATTTTTTGTGGGGTTATATTTATTGCTGTTCTATGTAAAAGTATGTCTTTAAACTACAGCAGAGGCATATCAACAGATGCCTGAACATATTGTGTATACATGACTATTCTAGCCGAAACACTATGGATACAACTTTTCCAAACACCTCTTTCTAAGCTTCACAAGTGTCCATCTGAATCTTGGAGCCATTCTCTGTCTACCTAAATTCTTAGTCCATGATGTAGCTAGAATATATAGGTTTCAATGTAGAGACATTTCATTTTCCTATTGTCATTAACAACTCACAAACATAAAAGGGTTTATTTTATATATATATATATATATATATATATATATATATATATATTGCTTGCTGACACATATTAAGTTCAATAAACATGTTTGGTTCCAGCAAATCAGGTAGCACATGTGAATTGTGGGAACTGCCAAATGCTGCTGATGTATCAATATGGAGCAAGATCAGTGAAATGTGCAGTCTGCAACTTTGTCACTTCCATTGGGGTAAGTATCAACCAAATCTGTACAAAGTGATGATTGAGTTATGAAAGCCATGTTTAAATGTGAAAACACAATTTATATTGCTAAATCCTTCATGCTTTGAACACCTTTTTCATTGTTGAAGTCAGTGCCCTAAATGTTGTTCATTTGATAGGCTTCTCCAAGCACTGAGCAAAAAGCCTAGCATTTGAGTACCTTGAATCACAGAGCTTCTTCCATCTCTTATGCCAAGCTGTCTTGTGACACCAAATGTATAGAGCTTCTTCTCTAGGCTAATCCTTCCTTTTGGCATGTCTAAGGTGTGAAGGTCATCATGGAGAGCATGTCCTCAACTGAGCTTGGATGGCTAATATTTTCTTCTTCTGTCTTGTGTCAACTGTACTTTATGATGACATGATTTGCATCTCTGTGTCAAAATGTTGCAGAAGATTATTCAAAGGTTGTTATTGCATACCTTAAAGTTGTACTTCCCTCCCTTATTTTTTTCTTATCCAATTGCTCATCTGCTAATTATAATTATCTTTGATTACTGATATAATCTTAAATCCAGACTCTCATTTTAAATCCTGATCGAAAAAATATGATAAATCTAACACGTGGATTCCCCACCACTAACGCATCAACCTGGGCCGATGTGCACATTGATGCTGACTGCAACAGCTTACACAACTCCTTACACATCCGAGTAACGTCGATAACTTCAAAAATCATTTTCATGAAATAACTCTCCATCGAGTGGAGACGATTATCAAAGCTATCCCTATCTATAAAATGTAAAATTTTAATTATCCTAAACTCAGCAATACTCTTCTCTACATCATTGATTTAAACAATGGAGAGACTTTGTCAGATACATCCAATGTAATTTTATCCAAACTACTTGGAATTGGACTTACGACAAACTCAGACCCAAACCAAGTTGACTTCATGACTCATGTTGAACAGTAGGACAATCAAAAATTAGTTTGGAGTCATTAAAATTCTGAATGCAGATCAAATTAGAAAACAGAAGTATATTAATAAGGATCAGAACAATACCATTACCATCTAATCAAACTGGGACAGAGCATAAGCATCTTTGATAAATAACCAAATCAACTTCACTTGCCAAAGGTGATAATTGCAGGACATGCTAAAATCTAGCACAAATGAAGGTCTTGCACAAAACCTACATGCCACTTGGTCTGACAAAAGCTTAATGTACCTCACCCTGTTTAAGCTCATTCATACCAATAGCAATATTTACACAAGACTCTCATAGACCATGGAGATGTAAGTTACAAACATCATTTGTACCTCATGTGGACTAAGGATTAAACTACTGGTTAGAGGTTTATTTAACCCACTAAATTTTAGCCTGGGTTAAAAATATCCCACCTAAGTTAAAGAATCCTCTCTCATCTTGTTTGCCCAACATGACAACTTACCTGGATTAGCACCCCCAAACAAAAAAAGGATCAACCAACATTGTCTAAAACCTTCAGCAATGAATCTCAAGCAATTTACTCTGGAAAGTTGTTATGAATATATATGTACACAAATATATATTCATAAAATTAGTAATTTTTATATTTATGTATATTATTATACAACAATAACAAAATCATAAAGTCCCAACTATTTATGCATAGTTTTATATAATAACAAAACTAAAAGATCTCGACCATTTGGGCTGAATACATCAATATTTTATTGTCGGTAAATTGATACATAATCTTATAAATTTCAAATACAATCAGCAACATAAAAGCATTAAAATTTTATAAGGCATTTAGATTTTCCAAAACTATTAAATATATGATGACAGATATCTATGAATGAGATTAATATTTACAACTCCCTCTTTACTATTTATTATTTTATTTTATTTTTTTTAATATTGGTAACAATTGACTGCGAATAGTAAGATTCTATATAAAACCTCATTTAAATAATAAAGCTAAGAAAATGAGATAAAAGAAAACATCACCGCGAGGATTCAGACTCGTTGGCTTATGATAAGAAGTCCACATGCACACCACCATCACAGCTATGGAAAGGCACCGTACATCACAATTCGCATTGCCTTGTCCCATCCTTTTAGAGCGATTGCGGAGAATTCATTGGTTTTGTGTTGTGATAGACGAAGAGATGGTAGTGCGCTTGTCCTCTTGTATCGTTCGCCAGAGATGTCAATCGTATTCACATATTTATCTTCGGGTCATCCGATCACGATGGAGAAGCTGATAAGTTGCAGTGTACCTGTTTGTCGAAATGAAAAGCCCGCCGAAATCCGAGAAATTATGCAGGAAAACCCGATCTTTCTAGATCTAATCAAGTCTTCTGTTGAGAAACCCGCATGCGAAGCACGCCCTGGTGCTGCGCGATGATGAGAGAGAGGAACCTGCATGCAAGCCGGGAGGGAAGCTCCGGCGCGTAGAGGCATCGTCGCTTACGAAGGCCGCAGAACAGATGTCCACGTCTCTGCGATGACCATGCGAGAAGAAATGGGGGAGAAATCGCTAGGGTGACACAGAAATGGTGGGAGGAACTAAGCCTCCTCGATGCCCTCCGGTCTCTTTTCCCTAATCGGTAACCGATAACCGATACGATTAAGGGTTTCATGTCCTCATCACCCATCAAACTCTATTTCATCGACAACCATTCTCATGTGTAATGATTATGAAAATATTAGAGCTAATTAAATTAATAAATGTATTTTTTTTATTAAATCTAAAGTATCGGTGTGATAATGACGTGTCAAATTACTTTCCAAATGATTCAATGAACTTTATCAGATCACATTTCGATCGTTCATTTTCCGTGAAAGATGTCTGAGCCAATAACACTGTAGGTTTGGATAGAGACGGAGGCCGAAGTCGAGGGTAAGAGAGAAATCAAGTGATGGCCCACATGTTTGGCCGGTGTTCATGCACCCGACCGGAAGCGAGGACAACCGCGCGGCGGGCCCCACGTGAATCACCCACCCCCGCCCGGGTTCATCCACCCGGCCAGCGATGACAGCCAGCGCGCACCGAACCCCCCCCCCCTTCGGCATCACGATGCGTGCGGGAATCCCCGCTTCGGATCAGATGCTGACACCTGTGCGTGGTGCGGCCGTCTCCATCCATCAGCCACGCCGGGCACCCGCGAGGGGAAAAGTTCACGTGCCACCACCTTGACATCGTGATACATGTGACCATATATCCGGACACGCATACCTAACTTATTAATCTAATCATCAGCGTCATTTCGCCGCTAAATGACAATTAATTTGGGGAGGGTCCGACTTCGCTCGTCGCGATCGCAACACGAAAGGGGCATCGGAACAATCCAGAGAGGATGATAAATGCTCGCTTACGATGAAAAGATTCGCCCCCTCTTACGATCTTACCTTAGCTCAACTCAATTAACGTGACGGAAAGTCAACTCGCTGCGTACGACCGTAATTCGTGGCCGAGGGGAAAAGTCAAGTATTTGACCAAAGGAAAGGAATGGTGGCTCGTCTTGGGATCTCCCCGCCTCACACTTGATCACACCGTCCACGTCTCCTATTCCGGTAGCCTTGCGGGCTCGGGTTCCATGCTCCACAGTGCACGGTGTGCCCACCGACAGCACGCAAGAGAGCGAAAGAGACACAGACGCGGCTCGCTCGTGTCCCCACCCACCTCGAGTCGCGACACAAGTCGTACCACCGTCGCCATCGATCCCACAGTTCGATTTGATGATGACATGGAATTATCTGTCCTGCCTGGTGGTGCTGATTGTGCTGTGAACGTATCGATTCTCGATCGATGTTTATCAACTTAAAAGTGATCAAACAGATTAAATTTATTAGGAATTATTTTTTTTAATATTAATCCAATGATAAAGAAGAATATAAGAAAAAAAAATCCTAATTTCTCGAGTCACAATATCGTTGGTGTCCTTATTTGATTAGCGTGATTAAGTCAAAATTGGAAAGCTATGAGGGAGACAGACATTTACGAGAACTGTTGGAAAGAGCGTTTGTCTAATATATGTGACTCTTTTTTCCACGGCATGCATGCCATTTTCATACATCTACTAATTAGAGTCAAAATTGATGTAGCCATGGAATCTTCAACTTTGGTACCAAACAAAGATAGTCATCGGTACATCTGTTCCTCATATATCGAGAAAAATGTGCACCAAAGCTGCCGTGTAAATATGAGCTTCTCAAATGATCCTCGACATGAATTAGATATTTATGATCATATTTAATTATAATAATGTATTTTTTTAATTAGTATTAAAAATATCTTCGATTTATTTATTAATTATAATGAGGATAAATTATTGAGGAATTTAATTTTTTTTTTCAAATAATTTTTTTATATTCCTCAATCTCGTCACAACAGTAACATTATCTCCTCATCTTTTTCTGTAGATCGATCCGATAAATTAATATAATTTTTTTATTATAATAATTTTGAATAGACTTAGAATATAAAAATCTCCTGATTGTTCTTATTCATAAACCGACGATAATACTTATTTGAGATTTAATATTAAGTCTTAAGTCAATTTACGTTAATTATTATTTTTGAATAAATTTAAGATATCAAAAATATTATAAGCCTATTAAAAATATTTTGAATAATAATATGGATTTTATATATTTGAGATTCTTTCATCATAAAATCTGTCCGTACAATATAATCAGTCTTAACTATTTTGTCAGGTGATATTATAGGATTATAATAAATAATATATATATATAGCATATTTTGAGAAAAAAGCATAATATTCAAGATTTTTCTCGTAATGGGAACAGTGTTACGCATCATCCGAAAAAGTGGATCCGATCCGAACCTGGAGAAGGTTAAGTCGGATCACATCGAGAAGCGAAAACCCGATAAGAAGTTACCACTTTCCGCGAGAGGGGACAGGGAACAGCGTCACTGTCGTGGGACAAACCTGGAGCCCTCCAGTAGGCCCCATGGGTCCCACCCCACTAAACCCAATTGCCCCTCCGTCCGCTATTAAAGGCCAATTCAACTGCCGCATCAAACCAACCACCCCTCTTGCCTTCCCTCGCTCGGCGGCCAACTCCACCGACGGTGACCGCACCCTATCTCCCCGCTCCTACTCCTCTGGATGCAACGGTCGGATCACCGCCGCGCTTTCATGAACCTGTGGAACGACGACAACACCTCCGTCATGGAGGCCTTCCTCTCCTCCTCGGCCACCGTCGCCGCCCCCGACCACCACAGCTTCTGGCCGCCGCTACCTCCGCCTCCGGCTTCCATCCCCGCTTCCTCCTCATCCACCACCTCCTCCACCCATTCCACCGTCACCTCATCGGCTCCGGCGCACTTCAGCCCGGACACCCTCCAGCAGCGCCTCCATTCGCTGATCGAGGGCGCCCGGGAGAAATGGACCTACGCCATCTTCTGGCAGTCCTCCCCTCCCAGCGGTGCCGCCGTTCTCACCTGGGGCGACGGCTACTACAGGGGCTGC